AAAACGGGTCCGACCGGAAACAAGAAAAAAAGAAACAACTTCAAAAACCACTCGCTGCCATTCAATTCAACACCCCGCTACGTGACTCCTGCCATCCGACATGCCGGTATCACGTGACAAGGCGCATTCATTCTTCATCTTTATGTAAATTCGGTATCGCGTGACTTTGTGACGTGTTACCGAATTTACATAAAGATATAAGTTCAGATATTTTTTTGCTCGTGACGTCACGTGACGTCACCACAGCAGTGTCTTTAAAACTCTCCCTCCATTACAGAATCAGTCTTCAAGACTCGGATTCTGCACGGTGACCTGTAGTAACTATAGCTCTCTCGTGTTGTTTTCTGAACATTATAACCAGTTTTTGGTTTTATCTTGAAGATTACTWGCTGTCTGYAAACAGACACTTCACAATCACTTCTRAACGTGAAAATTTAAATTCAGACATTGTCAGAAGTCCAGGAGAATTTTAAAATAATGCTTAAGAGTCCTGGAAAATCACAAAACTACAAAATGAATTCTTTGATGGATGAAATGAGAGAAGGGTTTTGTCTTCGTACGTTTTCAGATGTTTATAAAGTCGAAAAGTTTCTCGGACAAGGCAGTTATGGGTTAGTTTCTAGGTGCCTGAAAAATGAGACAGAGCCAGTTGCTCTGAAAGTTATGAGCCCGAAAGACGGCCATTCTGCTAATAAAGAATTGGAAGCCATTTTAAGCCTCAGGAAGTTCAATCCGGACCAGATCAACGTCATGACCTCCTTTGACTGGTTTCTGTATCAAGGCAGTTACTGTTTTACATACGAGCTGCTGGACCGAAGCCTGGAAAAATTGATGCTACAAAGAGTTTGGCTTCCTCTGAGAGTAGCTGAGATCAGAGCTATCACGAAACAAATGTTGGTTACTCTCACTGCGTTAGGAGCTCTTCATATGACTCAYACAGACATTAAACCTGACAACATAATGTTAGTTGATCACATGTCTTCGCCCTTCAGAGTGAAATTAATTGATTTTGGGCTTTGCAATTTCACTTATGATTTATCTGAGTTTGATTTATATCAAGCTCCAGCTTACAGAGCTCCAGAGATCTACCTGGGGTATTCACCAAACGAAGCCATGGACATGTGGGGGCTTGCTTGCACTTTGGGGGAGCTTTTTCTTGGCCGGCGTATGTTTCCAGGTAATTCGGACTACGCAATCTTAAGATCAATTGTAAATCTCCTTGGTCAACCAGACCAGTTTTTTCTTGACTACTCGACCCGGGTCACACAGTACTTTACACAGGACCAGACCGACTCTACCTGGAGATTCAAAACAACAACAGAATACCAAAAAGAGTCAGGAGAGATGATCAGTGAAAAAAGTACTGCTTTACAATCTTTGGATGACTTGTTTGAAAGGCCATCTTATTTTGGCAATCCTCACGAGGATCAAGATATGAGAGAATTCAAAGACCTTTTGAAAAAGATGCTAGTTGTGAATCCTACAGAGCGGATCAGCCCGTTAGATGCTCTGAAACACAACTTCATTACAATGAAGCATCTTCCCATCTTCAGCGATGACTCGTATGTAAAGGAAGCCTTCAAAATAATGTCGCAGTGCCAACCCATCAAAGTGAACAAACCTGAGTGTGAAAACACAATCAGCTCACATCCTGGTCCCATTATGGCTCCACCTGTCAATACTAAACCAGAAGCAGATGACAGTGATGTTATAGACAAACCTCTGAGTTACAACCCAGATGATGCTCAAAAACATAGTTTTATTGGAATGAAGCATCTATCTGTCAACAACAGTGACTTGTATGCAAACGAAACTACGTCACAATGCCAAGTCATCTCAGAGGATTTACCTGTGGAGTGTGAAAGCTCACACTCACACACCTCACATCCTGGTCCCATTATGGCTCCACCTGTCAAAACTAACCCAGAAGCAGAAGACAGTGATGTTATAGACGAACCTCTGAGTGACAACCCAGATGATGCTCAAAAACATAGTTTTATTGAAGTGGAGCATCTATCTGTCAACAACAGTGACTTGTATGCAAACGAAGCACACAAAACTACGTCACAATGCCAAGTCGTCTCAGAGGATTTACCTGTGGAGTGTGAAAGCTCACACTCACACACCTCACATCCTGATCCCACTGTGGCACTGCCTGAGAAAGACTTTAAACACAAAAAACCTTTCAGAAATCTTAGAAAGTTTTTTGCCAGAATTTTCAACATCCATCACGTCCTGTCTTAGAACTTAACACTTAACATGGCCAGAGAACCATTTCTACTGATAATGTCTGCAAAAGATATGCATGACGTCACTGATGATGTCACAAATGCAAATTAATTAATTATTAATTAAAACACATTAACGTCCGAGGACGAAAAATAAAGATAGAATAAAGAGTCCAGTTTAGAGGTGGATAGTAATAGGTTGCCATTGGCATGGCAATCCTAAATAATCTTTGAAGGACACAATAAATACTCTGAAGGATGAAATCAATTCTGGCTCAATTTAATCGGCTACACAGAAACAAACCTTTATACATACAAATAATACTTGGGGGGGGGGGGGGGGG